TAGTAGCTAGCGTCCTCTTGTTCCTAGTAGTAAGGCCAGGAGCCCCTAATAGCGCCCTTTCTCCTAGTAGCGATGCCAGGAGCCCCTAGTAGCGTTCTTGTTCCGTAGTAGCATCAATATCTTGCTACAAGACCACATGACAGGTTCTAAGGGCCTGCCATGGCCAACGCCCAAACAGGAATTCGAGACCAAGTTCGAAGGCAGCAAATAGAATTGTGCAGAAACATGGAAGGATTGAAGAACATAAAAAGGACAAAGACGGAATTTGAAAGGACAACGAAGGATTCAGGAAAGTCATAAAGAAAGCAATGCTGTTCAAGAGGAAGGGTTTTGAAGGCCCTACTCAGCAAAAACAAACAACGAGGCATATGCATGGATTTTGCAGAGAAATTGATGGCACTATTCATGGCTACATTGACTGCATAGTTTGCATTGGCTGGTGCTTTTCTCCATGGAAAGTTTGGAGGGGGTTGGGGTGAGGGCGCAGCCCCTCCCTCCACAACCACACAAGAAGTCATACACATGGATGTTGCAAAATTGCACGCAGCACAGCTGTGCTCACTATAAATGCTGGACACTGCGTCAAAGAAAAGCTCCAAAGCAAAAAAACACCTAAACCAAAAACCAGAAGCAACTATATAGTGCGAACAAACCATTTCGGATGTGCAAGTGTTCGGCAGGTTGCAGTATTGCTCTGCATCCCAATGGCTCACCTGAAGCGGTCAAGGAATTTCTCAAGAAAAGCGGTGAAGACATCAGTTATCATTGTGGAGGCCATCGCTATCGGGTGGAGGCCATCGCTACTAGGGTGGAGGCCATCACTACTAGGGTGGCGGAGATAGCTATTAAGGTGAAAACATAAGTTATCATTGAGTTAGCGTCGTTGAGTTACATCCGTTTTGCTCAAATAGGTTCAGGTGAAGGCGCAAAAACCACTGGCTGCTTGGCGATGCTAGCTGGCATCGAAGAGGCACTGCACGTCTCACAATTCCAGTGTCTCAAGAAGTTGCCCTTGTCCCCCTGAAGCGGAGAAGCTCAAGCGACATTCCAACAGCCAAGCACATTGGCCTCCGTGTCTCAAAGCCCTAGGATCTCGACAGCTGGGAGAAACATGCACTTATGAAAAACTTTGTTCCCATTGCCACTTGTCAGAACTCTGGGGCTCAACAGGAGGCAATTTTCAATGGCTGGCACAGTGCTTGAATGAAAGTAACTATGTCAGTCTTAATGACAAGTTGTTAAGTCCACAAACTGCTCCAAGCCACTGGGACGTAAGATGTCTCCTTCAAAAAGGCCGCAAACATCTCGTTGGTCACGGGGAATCTCAGTTCCAAGGCAGGAACTAATCTCAAAAGAACTAATTAACCTTAAAAAACTAGAGTGTACAGTGGAAATAATGGAGCCCGTCGTCCACAGGCATGTGAGGTAATTGAAAGACCTCCGAAAACAACGAGCATGAACCAAATCCTCCTCCGCGTCACCAGGCTTTGCGGTGAAGCAACTTGTCTACCAAGAGGTCCTTGATGCTGACATTATGTGCGACGTGGTACTTCACAGCCTCATCTTCCCAGGGGAACCTCAGAGCAAAGAGTTTCAGCTTGAACTTCAATTGAAGGATCTGGAGAGTCCTATTGGCACCGTTAACTAACCTAACCCATCCTAAACCCTCCATCTCTGAAACCTATCCCAGAATCGTCTCGGACCCTTTGCCAGTCAAAGCTGCTGGACATCAACACCAAGTTTGACGAAGTTCTGTCCGCCACGATAGGTGTCTTCGATCTCCGACCCAACCACCTCGGACCATTGGGTGGAGCATGTCGGCACTTTCAACAAACGCGGGTCTTTTCGACCAATTCTAATGATAATGGCGCTTTGTTCCTAATTAAGTAGCTTCTTGCTCCTAGTAGTAACGCCGGGAGCCCCTAGTAGCATCCTTGCTCCCAGTAGCGATGCCCTTTGTTCCTAGTAGCTTGGCCTCCAACCTAGGTTAAGTCCAACTCAAGCCCAAATGCGCGGAACTCGAAGGCCGCAGAGCCGTTCACCACCACCATGCCGCCGGTGTTCGACAAAGTCCCAGCACCCCCGTCACCGGGATGGTAGGTTTGCTTTGCAAGCGAGACCTGGTGCGCAAATGAGCAGCGAGACCGGGCTGGTTTTGGGGGTCTTTGACGATCAATTCGTCGCGTGCCTTGTCTGCAAACGAGGACAACGGCTTTTCCTTGGCTCTTTCTGTGTGCAGAGATGAAGCATGAAACGAGCACACTCCTCCTTCTTTATCATGGCGCAGAAGCAGAAACGTTTGAATTCGATGGTGTGCCCTCAAATTTCCTCAGCCTCTTCAAATCGTACAGTAAATGCTACGGAGGACCAAAAGCTGCAGAGGCTCTAAAACTCATATCCAAATACAAATGATTTCAAGATATGATGGAACAGGGATTCGCTTCCAACTTCCAGGTCCCTCGATGCCTCAGGGGATCTCAGGGGTAAATCCCCTGGGCACTTTTCAGAGAGGAGCTTTCAAAGAAGAACAATAAGCGTTACTGTTGCCAAAAGAAAAGAGGCAGGGAAGTCTATGGGAGTCTCTAGCTGTTAACACGGCACCCACATGTACACCAATCATGTGAAGCAGCACTCCATGGCAAACATTACAGTGAGCACATGCTGCGACATTGTGTTTTGAACAGGTCATCTGCTGCGTCTCTACAGGGAGTAAAAAGCAGCTTGTCGAACTGCCCAGCATCTGTTGCAGTTCCCATTCGCCGAAGAAAATCGCGGTCATTAGGATGCATCTTTCCAACCCCTGGGAGGGCAAAAGCAATTGGAAACTTGAGGTTTCTGAATCGGTTTGCCAGCATATGTCAATATTGAATGTTCGACAGACGGATGTAAATCGTCTGGAAAAATGCAGAGCTTCAATGAGCATGAGAATGACGCCGATTGAAAGCTTGCAACATGCCAACTGCAGCCACGATGCGTACTTTTAGAATGGCACCGATGCCTCCGCCCTCCACGGACAGGTGCAGCTGTGCCGTTTGCCTAGGGGTTTCTAGCTACTAGTAGCTTCTAGTTACTAGAAAGCTTCAAAGACCTCCTAGTAGCGTCCTTGCTCCTAGTAGCTTCAAAGACCGTTCTTAGTAGCTTCTTGATCTTCTTGTTACTAGTAGTAAGAACGCTCCTGGGATGTCAAGCAATATTAAAAAGCTATATAGAATTATAAAATGAAAGATATTTAAATTATTAAAGATAGGTCTTTTACCTTTAAAGAAGAGAATCATAAGAAGAAAATGAAAGATCATATATTAATTATTCGGTTTTCCAGCTTCTTCCCGAGATCAAGGGTGAATATTAATGATGATTATGAAAAATAGAATGACAACCTGCCAAGATTCACCCAAAAAATACAGATAAATTAATTCTCTAAATGAAATGGAATGCCGATAAAGATAAAAGACAATAATATATTTGTATCTTATGGTGAACACTTCATTTACAAAAGAGAAAGACATACAAATGAAAGGAAAATATTCTCTGCTTACCTTTTCCCTTTATATTTTGGATTAAATGTCCATCCTATATTACTAATTTCTATTCTTTGGACTCTTCTAATTCTACTTTATAATCTCTTAGCTATCAAGAGTTTATTCACATTCATATACGACAGGAGCCCCTAGTAGCGTCCTTGCTCCTAGTAGTAAGGCCAGGAGCCCCTAGTAGCTTCTTGTTACAGGTGAAACGATTCCCAAGGAAGCTTCTGAAACCGACTCCTTCGCACAGAAACGACTCTGTCCTGTCGCCTTCATGCGACAAAGCGGCCCTTGAGCCTTTCCACATCCCTTGGTCCCTTTAACCAATTATCCCCTTGGTTCCACCATATTCCACCGAATTATCCCCATAACCTCAAAACCTGTCGCAAGTTCCATCCAGCTACCACGTTGATTTGTCTCATCACCCCTGACATCTGCCGAAGAGCGCGCGGTGTATCCGCTCATTGCAGGACTTCACCAAACCTGCACGAGATCACGAGATGGAACAGCAATCAATGCCACCCAATCACCCGGCAACGGCAAATTGTGTCAACAATTGGACAGGTCAACGCCAAGTCACAAGTGTTGACCCGTTCCAGATGAACATCGTCCCCACGGTACCTCACAATCGAATCGTATAGAGACTGAATGAACTCAAAAGGGGTTCATGAAGTTCCTTCAGAAGTTCCTTCATCTTCAGTCTGAAAACGTTGTTGAGCCAAGTATCAGGTCATAAAATCGGAAGTGGTCGGATTGTGGCACTTGAAGCATCCAATCCTCTGAAAGCAAGTTCTCTCTTTGGTTTTGTCAGGTGCCACAAGTCATTGGACATCATGGGGCCATTCCTTTCAACTATTGCTAACTATTGTCAGACTCTTTACAAACACAAGCTTCTTGTTACGACTAGTAAGGCACTTGTTAGTAGAAGCGATGCACTTGTTTCTAACAGCTTCTTGTTACTACTAGTAAGGCACTTGTTAGTAGAAGCGATGCACTTGTTTCTAACAGCTTCTTGTTACTACTGGTAAGGCACTTGTTAGTAGAAGCGATGCACTTGTTTCTAATAGCTTCTTGCTACTACTAAAAGAAAAATGGGCCTTAGGTCTTAGAGTTTAACAAACTGCGACTGCAGGTGGTCTAGAGTTATCTGCTTTCGACGCCTGGGCGTCCGCAGTCTGCAGTCCAGTGTTGATGATCAAGAACAGCTCTCTATCCGAACCCACCTCAGAGCAACAACATGCTGAAGCTTAGTGCATGCTATGCCTATTGATGTTTGCTGCGTGCGCTGGGCAATCAAGCTGACGCCAGCATGAAGGTACGAAACTTTTGGATCCTCTTGGGCTAAAATGACGAGTTTGATGCCCTGAGCCAAACAAAGCCCTCTACACCCAGACCATGATATATGGCAATGGCCTTGTGCACACTAAGAAATGACAGCAATTAGCGGTGGCCTCCAACCTACTAGCGTCCTTGCTCCTAGTAGCAATGCCAGGAGCCCCTAGTAGCGTCCTTGCTCCTAGTAGCGTCCATTCCCATCTCCAAAGTCACAAATTTCGAGACGTATACATTCTCGCCCTTTGAGGTCAGCTTCTGGACGGGATAGAAGGGAAGCCATGCAACTCCTGGATCCTGGCACCGTCTGTTAATCCACTGAATCATTTTGCCGTTTGTACGCCATTTATGCTTACGTGTATGCTCACACCTGACTCTCCGCAGCTCAGTCGAGGCGCTGAGAGAAAGTGGCCAAAGTGGCGCAAAATGAGCATGGCACGCTTCAGCAGTTCTGCGTCTCGTGGGTTGATTCCATTCCTGGATCCCACGACACAGCTATGTAGTGGGGTTGTGGGGTCAAAAGTTACCAATTTAAGATAAGATTCCAAATGCCAAAAATGTTCTCCCAGGCAGCATAGCCAATCGCGTTGAAATATGCCGTCCTTAGTGATCAATTCTAGCAAAATTTCCGCGACATTAGTCTTGAAAAACAACGACCAAACAATGGCAAACATGCAAATCTCATCAACAGAATACTGTAATGTTTAAACAATTACATTGAACCATGATGCACCATTCAAGATCAAGAGTCAGGATTTCCTGTGATCTCTGTGTTGACCATCGCCCGCACACCTTAAGTGGCGTAAGGCCTACTTGGCTTACTCCATCCACAATCATGTTGGTCGTCTTGCAATGTCAAGTCGCATGCGGCATGGATCCTCGCGCAATCCATTTCTGCAGTGACACCAATGGGGCAAATGGCGTTCTTTCCTTCTGGTGTTTGTTTGGCACAAGAAACGGCCGGGGAGAGAGTTTGGAAAAAAATGATTTTCCGTTCATCACCCATCTGTCTTTTTGTGGAGCCCTACAAAAGGGTTGTTGAATGCATCGAGTGTCAGAACATCCAACAACGGGAGGACATTGCGCCAGGGTATAAAGCCAGCCCTGGGCAGTGGTATTCCTCAAGTTGGCAAATTGCATTGTGCACATGTACAATAAGGCCTCGAACCTAATAGCGATGGCCTCCAACCTAATGGCGTCACAAATAAACAGATTTCACAGAAAAGAAACTGCCAAGTGAGGCAAGCTACAAAAGAAAAAGGCCATCGTAGAGTCCAAGCTCTGGCTCAATGATGGCATGTTGAAGTCCTGCCTTCAAATTTCTGTTCAGTTTCTTAAAGTCGACAAAAACACGTGATTTTCTTTCAATTCCTGGTGAGACCTGCGCAAGACCCTTGCTTCCTCTCCGCATTTATCTTTCCTTTTCTTTCCTTTTCCATTCTTAGTTCCCAACATGTTGGAGCTGAAACCCCGCTCCTGGCGCGCTGCTGCGAAGAACTCCGTCACGGGCATCTCCTCGGAGTTGCCACCCGACCCCCCACGCAACACCTGACAAGTGATGCGACCATCCCGCACTCAGACTCGCAGCGAAGGCACCGGCTTACTCTGAGATGGAGGTACCACAAAGGGTCCCAATGAGTCCATGGTATCCAAATTCAATCCATCCGCCCCGGCACGGGCCATCAGATCCGCATATCCTCGGTGTTCAGACTCTGCCGGAGCAATGAAGAAATGAGGTTCAGAAGCTTTGCGAATATAATTAGCCCCAACATGTCTTTTCTGCAAGCTGCTCGATGGGTCGTGTTGGCCCAGGCCGTTCGTGGCAATGTCCCATGGCCTCGCACATTCACTTCACAGGACAGCGGCCTTCTAATACTTGATTTCAACACAATATTTGTTCTTCCTTTCTATTAGCGATGGCCTCCTACCTAATAGCACAAAACACAAACGTCCAGAACTTCTGAGGCCCTGTCTTGTACGGAAGCCTCAGCAATGCAAGAAGCTCCACCGAAGGCATGCGTGGGCAGAAAGAAAAGGATTGGGAAGGGATGAGCAAATCAAACATCATCAATTCCAATGAGAGCAGCTGAACATGTGATTACGCACGTTTTCCTGTAAGTCAAAAAGGGCTGCAGTACATTCTGTGATGTCTTCTTTGCAATATGCACAAGCATTGGTCTGTACTGAACATGGTTCGCGCTCCTTCTTGGTGATGTGAGACCCTAAAAGCATCTTTGGGCTCACTTTGCCACCATAGTCCATTTTCTACCATTAAATTATTGTTTCTCTTTTTGTTCTGAGATTACCCATTGTTCCAGGAACTGGGTTCCTAGAGATTGTTCGCACCTCATGTGGTACACCTGGATGTTCTCTCATCCTGACTGCACAATCCAACTATTTCTCTTTCAACTGCATCTGCTGCTTCTGGTATTCCTCTTCCTAGCAAGTTGTAATGTCTTTCTACAAGCTGTTGTATTTTTGCGTCAAGTCTACCACACATTTGATTTGCCTGCGCTGCTTCATAATCTTGCCCGAATGAAAGTTCTCTGTTTCCTGGGCTGAATCTTCTGTATAGTGGTCCCTCTGTTGGGCTTGCTCCATTCGTAGCTGCTTGCAACATTTCCTCATGTCCATAGAATAGCCCGGCTGTTCTCTGCATTTCTTCTAAGCCCCTTCTGGCTAAGTAGTGCTTTGCATTCATCTCACGCAACATGTCATACACACTAATGGCTTGTGCGTTTGGTATTTCTTTCTCTACAAACCCTCCATTGAGATTCAATCCGCTGTGAATTCTTCTGACGTAGTCGTGTAGAGTATTGCTTCTCTCTCCATCACTATCCGTTTGACTGATACCTCTCTCCAATTTTCTGATGTCAGTAAGTTCTGTAAACCTGAACTCTAGGTTGTCTGATCTCCAATCAATGTGCTGCCGATTGTCATAGTAGCGTCTCTCTGTATGACCCCATTGCTCACCACTGTCCTTTTGGGGTGTCAGTTCAAGACGTTTGACTATTTAAAAACCACAAAGATCACAACCACAAGGAAAACGATGTTGATTGCAATAATCACCACCATCCAAAACTCCCAGTTTCCATTGGATTCCTTCATCTCCTGCAATCTCATGTCTTCCAACACCACACTGGATGTTGCCCCCTTCTGACAATCATCTTGGCAATCTTGGGGGCCTTTCCTGCAAACTTCTTCTCTTCAAATTACCTTCTCTCATATTCTCCTACTCTCACTTGGTCTTCACTGTGGCAATAACCCATGAGGTGAATCAAATATCTGGTTCTTTGTCCTCCAACTGCCTTTGCGTTGATGTCTGCCATGTTGCCATCTGTTGGTACTTGTACCGTCTTGAAGTCTTGTCTGTTCTGTACCCTCCTAGGCGTGGACACTCAACTTAAAGCAGCAGCTACTCTGTCAATCCATTCTTCTGGATCTCCTTCTGGTTCATATCCTCCATCACACCGCAAACATTCAGGTCCATTGATCTCTTCCAAGTCCGAGTCATCTTCTTCTTCATCATCCCACTCTTCTTCACCAACTTCTTCTGCAACTGGGGATAACTCCTACCATGTTTATATTGACTTTCTTGCTTGATTCATCTGATGGCCTGAGATTCTTCATTGGACTTTCCTCTTCAAGCAATTCAAACGCTTCTCTTGGTCTTGATGGCGCTGGTGGTGATCTCAATGAAGACAGAATAGGAGTAATTGGGCTAGGCTGTCCTGCTGGCAATGATGCAGAGGGAAATGCCTTCACTTTCTCAAGCGCCTTCTCATCTGTAAAGAGAACTTTCTGTTTCATATTTGGTGTCTCTTCTCCACTTGGCTTCCTGTCACCTCCATCTCTCTTCATTGCTTCAGCAGCGGTCTCGAGCGGGGCTGGAATTTCCACTGGCTCTGGGAATAGTGGCTCTTCTTTTTCTGAATCATTTCCTCCTTCCAGTGCAGTGCCTTGGCTATGACTGCTTCTAGACGAAATTGGCCTTTACTGCCTGATGGCACAACATGAATGAATCCAGTTTGGCTCTCAATTGCAACTAACCAACATACTGCTCTTGCTGACTTTGTCTCTGAGTCTCTTGCTCTTGCGTAGCAAAAAGTCAAAGCTTACCTCAGGAATACTTCCACTCTTTACTCCACCTGTTGGACGCGCTCGACGCTCAATGCACTCCCTACACCAAGTGGCATAAGGCATGTGTGTCAATGGGTGCCCCTTTGAGTTGCTTGATCTGGCATCTTTGGAACACTTTGTCCTAGTGCCTCTCTAGTCTCCTGAGCTTTTGCTTCACTGCATTCAACAACTCCATCTTCTTGTTGTGATTGAGGATCTTAGTGTAGACCTTTAGCTTAGAGCCACTGCCTGAAATGCCGAGAAATGAACAAGCTGCCCTCAGAGTCGCCAGAGATGAACCCTTAGCCAACTCTATTCCATTCAACAAGACTTTGTCTACATCCATTGGGCTCAAGTGTAGTTCACACGCAAGGTCATCTTCTTTCTTGTCTTTCTGACCTTCTACCTCCTTCTCCTGTGGGGTAGGGGTAATCTCTTCTAGCGCCTGTTGCACTTCTTTCTTTGCTCTCCGTTCTCAAGCTTCTTGTGTCCTGGTGACCTGGTGCAAACAATCCCAGGTCCTCTGGTGTAACATGGCCGAAGTTTGCGATTGAAGGAATGACTGCATCATCATCAAAGAACTGCTCATGAAAGTTCCTCCATGTTCGCTCTCACAATATTCACATGTCACATATTAGCCATCTACCTCCTCTCTTCACCAAAGTGGTCCTCATCAGGTCTGGTGATTCTTCCACTTCTGGAATGACTGTGGGGTCCACCAATCTTGAAGGCAAAAAAACTTTCAACGAGCAGTCCATGTTCATTGAATCTCCAACCTGGTTCTTTTTCAAGAGCTTCCGGCACTTGCACTTCCAAGCAGTTCTCATCTTCATCTCCACTGGCTCTAATGCGGCCTTGAACTGTCAAAGAGCGATTTTGTAAGTTGAGTGGTACCTTCAAGTCACCGTTCTCCAACATTTGCTCTCTGCTATTGATTCCCCAACCATGCTCCATCAGCCTTCCATAACAAAATATGGGCTGATTCACCTTGGAACTGAAGATTGCATTCTCTTTGGGAGAACTTCTAGTCCATCAAGGTCACGCAAAGAAATTTCAACACTTTTCGCACCTCCTGTAGGGGCACGGTTTCCTTGTGCATCTTGTAGCTTAGTCTTTGCGCCGAATTGTAGTTCTCCTTCTCCGCGAACCGCGACAAGCAAAGGGAATAATGCTACATCTACCACTGTCAATAATACATCCCCATTCTCTTACCCAAGTCTCCTCACGATGGGTTCATCATCTGAGATTGAAATTGACATCTCTTCAACTTCCTGGATCTCTGACTCATCATCATCATCATCATCATCATCTCCAATGTAGAAATGAGTTACTCTGATCCCCTGGTCTTCTAGCTCATCATCTCTCTCCCTCAAGTCAAGGATGACTGGCTCACTGTTCTCAATTCTTCTGACCACTGATTTGGCCTCTGCTGAGCTACTCTGTTGGCTCACGGCTCACACTGGCATGCTGTTGACCAACTGTCACAGATGCCCCACCTGAAGATGAATGGGTTTGATCACTTGCTACCTGTCAAACATTGCTCCTCCAACAGTCTTTAGCAAGATGCCCTGGCTTTCCACAAGTGCGCAACACCTTTGCCTTTCCCTTTCCCTTATGATCACCTTCTTTTCCTTTCTGATCTCTGTTTCCTTTCTTCCCTTTGCCCTTGGCATCTTTACCTTTACCTTTCTGATGGTCATTCTTACCCATCTTACCTTTTCCTTTGGCATCTTGGACTCTATATCAACTTCCATTGGCATAGGTCCTTGGTAATCTGTACTGCTACTAGCCACCATGGAAGTAGCCCACTTCTGCTGAGATCTACCCTACTGCAACACATGTTCTCTCAAAGTTGAGTATTGAACATTGTCACCAGTTGTCAAGTTCAAGTAGGACTTGAGTTGCCCACCTACACATCTCAAAAGAATAGCAGATTTCAACTCTTCCTGAATTTTAGTCCCTGCCTTGACAGTCTCATCAAATACGTCTTCAGACTTCAGGAGTTGAGGTTGTAGCGCACTGTTCATTGAAAACGCTGGCCACGTAGCGACTGCTCGCAAGAGTGCCAAGTCTCTTGCCTTCGAAGTTGGCTTCAAAGCCTTACTCAAACTCCTCCAGGCATCAAATCCATTAGGTCTTCCACAGCTGTAGAGCTTGATGCATCTGGTCTTCTGTCTTCTCTGCATCAGTCGCCAAGTCCATGTCAAATTTCCCATTTAGCTTGTCACGAATTTTCTTCAGGTCCTTCATGTAGCCGTCATCAGCTGCACCCAAATACTTCTCAAAGATCCATGGCCACTCTCTGAGTGCCTTGATCTCTTCATCTTGTGACTTATAGTCAAATATGTTGGGCTTTGCAATCAGTTTTGACCCATCTGTTGTTGGCGGCTTCTTGTCTTCAACTGCCTTCTTTACTGCTGCCGATGTTGTTGCGGCTGTTGCCAGCGTACTTTGTACTAATGTCCTTTTGACACAATGTACTGGCTACAAAGTGTTGCCCACAACAATTCTTCACCAGTCCAGCTGCAAAGGCCCCAAATCTATGGCTCGAAATCGCACCGGGA